GTAGTGAGGCTGGGGAGGTGAAGAGGTGAAGAGGCTCGAGACAGGGTCAAAGGCTCGGCGTGAGTGATAGTCACTGGTCACTGGGCGAAAGGTAATGAATGGGAGGAAGTTGGTTCCATCATCATCTAGCTCTATAAACAATGCCGTCTTTCTGAAAGCTTTTAAGGAAACCCAAGCAGTCGCAAAGCAAAACAAAAAAAAACGCCTTCTAATCTATCCCCCCTTCGTTCCCCTATTGATATTCGAGCCCGGAAAAGTCCCAAATTCCATTCAGCCCCACTGAGAAAGGCCATTCTAAACCATCTCTTCGCTTTTTTCTTCCTTCGCATGTCTTCTTCGCTACACATCTTTGGATATCGCTAAACTGCAACGCAAGAGCAACACTCAGCCCATCCATGCTAGGTATGCAAAAACCCATCTTCCTTCTTTGTAAAGCACACTTAATCATCACCCTCATCATCCGTATCCTTAGGATGCGGCGTTCCCTTGGGGCTGTTGAGCCACTCAATGTGCCTCAGTCTCCTGCGAGCCTCGCGCTCCTTCATATCCTTCTTGGTCATCTTCTTCTTCTTCTTGGCCTTGAAGGTCATGCTGTCGCCGGTAACGCCCAGGGAGCCGTTATCCTCGGCGCCCGAGTTGACGGCAGTGGAAGGCTCGCTCAGGCCCATGGGGGTGTTCAAGCCGCTGGTGACGGCAGAGGCAGGCTTGCTGCTGTCCTCGAAGCGGTCGAGAGCAGCGGCGTTCTGGCCCTTGTGGGTGACGCGGCCGTCGACGACGTTCCATGTCTCGGAGGCGAGAGCGCCAACGAACTCTTCGTTATGGGAGATCATGACGACACCACCCTTGAAGTCGCGGATGGCGACGGCGAGACCACCCAGCGAGTCACGATCCAAGAAGTTAGTAGGCTCGTCAAGAACCAACATGTGGGGGTTGTTCCACATGGCACCGGCGATGACGACCTTGACCTTCTGACCACCGGAGAGCGAGCCGATCTCGTTGTGGTTGGCGATCTCGGGGTCGAGACCGAGATCCTCGAAATGCTTGGAGATGACAGCGGGTTGGAGCTCACGGTAACCGAGACCCTCGCGCGAGGACTCGTGATCGTCGAATTCCTGGATGAGCTTCTGGAAGCCGAGTTCGAGAAGGGTCTCGCGGGAGATCATGGTGTTGTGCTTGGGGATGAAGTTGCGCCATTTGCTGTTGCTTGTTAGCTGCTGATCATTTGTACAGAGAGAGAAACGGGGAAACTTACACCTCATACTGGAAGGTCTTCTTGTACTTCTGACGACCGACCAGGGCCTCAACCTGCCTCTTGCCCTTGCCATCACCGATATCGACAAACTTATCCATCTGCTCCTTATCGGCGTCCGTCAACTGGCGGGTCTGCTTCATGTGGACCTCACGATCATCACCGTGCTGGTAACGCCACTGCAGGTACTGGTTGGGGGTCTTTTCGAGATGCATCTCAACGTGCTCAAGAGCGTGCTGCTTGATGTAGCCGATACGGAGGTTGGGGTGCTTCTCGACCTTGCCCTGGGTGGGGATGACCTCGCCGGTGAGCAACTTGATCAGAGTAGACTTGCCAGCACCGTTGGGGCCGATAATGGCCACGCGGGAGGAGAGGGTAAGCTGGCAGGTGACACCGCTGAGCGAAGGCTTGGGGGCGTTGGGGTAGGTGAAAGAGACATCCGTCATACGGATAATGGCACGAGTCGCCGACTTGACGCCGGACAAGATACCGGGAGGAGGGAACTTGAACTGGACGTTGGAGGCAGAGAGGGTGTAGTAGGCCTTGGCCTCGGGGCGGACGTTGACAAAGGCAGCGAGGTTTCCCTTGTAGTGGCCAAGCTTCTTGTTGGGCTCGTAGTGGTAGATGTCGGTGGTGACGTTGTCGAGGAAACCGGAGTCGTGAGAAACAATCAGGGAGGTGATATCGGTGTGCGCCTTGAGGTACTCCTCGAGCCACTTGATGTTGGCAACATCGAGATGGTTAGTAGGTTCGTCGAGCAACAGGACATCAGCCTTCTGAAGCATAGCACGGGCCAAGGCGAGCTTCATCTTCCAACCACCGGAGAGCGAGCCGACCTTTTGCGACTGACGACCCTCAGGGCCAGCTGTGAAACCGAACTCGGCAAGAACTTCAGAAATGCGCTCGCGACCCTCCGAGGCAATGGTAGGATCCTTGGCCATGAAGTCAAGAATGGTAATATCGGCATCCTCGCCCTGGTTGTGCTCAACGTAGCAGGTACGGAGAACATCCTGCGAAGGGAAACCCTCGAGCTTGCCGGAAGCAATGGCCTTCATGAGGGTAGACTTGCCGGCACCGTTGCGACCGCAGAGACCGTAACGGTGACCCTTGAGCAGGCGAAGGTTGGTGTGCTGGAGCAGAAGCATACCACCGTAGGCAAGGGAGAAGTCGGCGTTGACAATCTCGATCTCGCCGTCGTCCTCCTTCTCGGGAACACCATACTTGATGGCATCCTCGTCGACGAAGTGCTTCTGAACGGCCTCGCCGACAGCGACAGGATCAGCGACGAGGAAGTTGAGGTAAGGGCCGGTTCTGGCAGCAATGCGGTTGCAGTGGCGGTGGTTGACATCCTCGGCAACCATCTCGCCAACGTACTGGCGGACAGCCTGGTAGACGACGGGGTCGCCAGTAACGCCACCGGCCTTCTTGACCTCGGCGTCCAAGACCTTGCCAACGTCCTCAGCGTGTGTGCGCTCGATGACCTTGTCCTGGTCGGAACCCATGGCCTTGTCCATGACAGCGAGAGCGCGAGTGGCTATCTCACGAACCTCGGGGAGAGAGGCGCGGTCGACAACGCCCCTGATGCCGGGCTGGAGCTTGGGAAGGAAAGTACGAGCCTCGATGGGGTCGTGGACGAGCTTGGTCAAGTTCTCGGTAATGACGACCGTCTGGCGGAGGACTTCTTGGGGAGTGCCGGGATTGTTGAGAGAGCGCTCCAAGAAGGGGGTAAGGAGGGCGAGGACAGGGGCGGTGACGATGGCCACGAAGGTGGTCATGGAAAGGGCGTGGATGGCCTTCTGGACGGCGGCAGCCGAGGGCTGCTGCATGGTCTCGACAAGGAGAGGAATGCGAGGAGCGACATCGTCATTGGAGAGCAGGGTGGTAAGAGCGTTCATAGTCTTGACAGCCTGCTTGGCGACCTCAGTCTTCATGTCGAGCATGCCGCCCTCGACAATGGGGATCAAGCGAGCGAGCTTGGTACCCATGGACTCGCGGAGAACATCCTGCTCGGCAGCCTCCTCCTTGGTGGTACCGAGTGTGATCTGGGCCTTGATGGAAATCTTTTCGATCAGCTGGTAGGCACCAATGGTTCCCTGCCACTTGCCTGTGGGCTTCTCCAGGTACGCGATGAGAGTAGGGAGAAGACCGACGACGAGAGCCTCGGGGCTCAGGTTGTTGTAGAGAGCATCGAGACCGTACTGGGCAGCCTCGCGGACGACGGCACCCTTATCGGCAAGGGCGTCGAGAGCGCAGGCGACAAGGCCGGCTTCCGTGGATGTGAGGAGGGTCTCGCTGGCGGGCTGGCGAGGAGGGAACTTCTCGAAGATGGCGCCGAGGAGGTTCTGGGCGCCTTCGCGCTTGAGACCGCTCTTCTTGTCGGCGGCGGCCTTCTTGAGTTCGGAGAGGACACCGTAGAATTCGAGGCCACGGTAGCCGTAGGACTGGAGGAGGAGTTCGCAGAGACCGTAGGCGGCATCGATGGAGGCTTGCGACGTCTTTGCGGTCAAGACAGTGTCGAGGATAGAGGCAACGTCTTGCTGGCTGACGGGCGGCGCGGCGCCAACATCAGCGACCATGATAGGAACAGTCATGGCTGTGTTTTTTTGTTGGGTTTTCTGGTATATAAAGAGGGGAGATTGGGGAGTGTCAAAAAGAGACGGTCTCTGATAGAGGACCTAGGGCGAGAAATGCCCGTAGCGACACAAGGCGGAGGGGGGGAAGAAAGGGAGCCTTGGTGATGCTGTCGCAAACGCAGACAGATCGGATGATGGTGGGTGTGGTTGGTTTTGGAGGTGAAGCAGGAAAAAAGAAAAGAGAAAGGGAAAGGGAAGAACGGGAAAAATGCAAAAGACTGCACACTCGACGCAGTGTCTGCTGCTGGAGTCGGACTGCGGGTGTGGACTGGGACAAGGAGGGGATTGGAAGGCGGTGGCGGGTCCCTGGGGAGCGGTGGACTTTGGGGCATTTTGGGATTTTAGCGGAGGACCTCTTTGGACAATGACAGCGAAACAAAAGAACCCCACCAGAATTCTTTTTTTCCTCATGTCCCGTGGGTCAGCCGGATCTTATCAGTGGTTTATCAGCTTATCGCTGCCTACCGGTCTTGGTGGTGATTGGCCGATATAAAGTCCCTTGCTTACATAAGTGGATCCCATTCGGTAAGCCAAGAATTTTCTGTCAGGGCCCCTTGTCGAGCATCCTGTCAGGTCTTGGGCATGTGCTGGCAGTGTCAACGCGCCCTGCAGCTGCCAGGCCGTCTGGTCCCCAATTCGAAACCATCAAGGTCCTCCATCCAAGTCGGGAAGAGCATCAACTCCTCGACATCAAGAAAAGATGATCATGAATCTGACAGTTCAGCTATCGTTTCTCTTTGAACCTATGAAAATGGTCAAGCCGACTCAACGCGGTTTGGACCACTGAGTTTTCCACAATGACCGAGTGTCTGACATGAGTTGGACGAACCGTGGCTTTTCCTATTTTTCCTATTTTTCCAATCTGATTTTCCAGTCAGATTTATCTCAACAGGCAGCATTATTCAAATAGTAGATGCTCATAACTGTCTGCCTTTGGCAGGACCTGAACAGAAAAAAAGAGGAGCAGCTAAGTACCCGTCCTCCACCTTCGCATTCTGCTCCTTCCCTATCCCAACACAGCGGCAAACTCGCCCCTTCTCAAACAAACGGACAACAAACGGCCTAATATAAGCAATATTCTTTCCCGCCAATTTCCAACAAGCAAGGGAACCAAAAACACCCTACTGGTGTATCGGTTAACATGGCGGATTCTCAAACTCGAGTCTTCCGCAGCGCAGGGTTCAACTCCCTGGTAGGGTAATTCTCATTTTGGCCTCTTTTTATCACTTCGATACTTGATCGTTTTTTCTTTCCTTCTTTTTTCTGACATTCCCCCCACCCTTGGTCACTAGGTAGGTAGCCACCTAATAGAAAATTGTGAACACCTTAATATACATTCTACACCTCCCGTCGTTCTTCCCGCAATCTGGTCTCCTCATTTTCTCGACGAGGCGGGATGACATGCATGCAGCCCTGTAAGGCTGAGTCTCACTTCACTGTCCAGTCTCGCCCGGTAGTCGACACACAGGCTTCCCATCCCGTTGGAACATCTGTTGATGGCTAATTTGCTACGTTACATCCAATGCTCACTCAGTACATGGTCAATGACTTGGATTTTGTCAATAAGTCAGGCGCGCCATGTTTGAAGCCTAGGGGTTTGTGTAACACGAACCCTATGACATGCCCTGCCCGCCTGAGATTGTTCATGCAATATATCAGTCACCATGGCTCCCGTCTGCTGGCAAACAATAGTAGGTAGTAAGAAGATATGTACCTTACTTACCACAACTCATTTCCTCATTTCCTCGGCGTAGGCGGTGGACTCGGCACATTAGGTCTCGGTGACAAAGGTCCCGGTCTGGGCGTCGTCGGTCCAGGTGTAGGCGGCCGAGGAGGGTTAGGGAGGCTGATGTTGAAGGGAACTTGAACAGCATGGTACAGTTCTGGGAAGAAGAAGAAGCCGGGGGCATCGTGTTGGTGGTTGTTGGTGGGGACAAGTTCAACAGGGTTTGGGTCCCTGGTGGAAGAAAAGGTAGTAAAGACGGAGGATATCATCACCATTTTGTCTTCTTTCTGTTGGGGGTTTTGAGTGGAAAGCGGCTGTGAGTGCAAGAATGAAATCCTTGTGAGATAGTCTGGGTTATGGGGTTAAAACGGCGGTTATTACTCAGTGAGGAAACTGCCGTGGGAGAAATCGCTAAAGAGTTGAGGGTATCTACAACACCCACCATAAGAAGCGACACCGACGACAAGGCATCATCTCTTTATATGATGAGCATTTAGGACATCAACAACCATTTGGCGCTGTATGTGTGGTTTGAAGTCCGGCACGGCGGTGAACTCGACAATGAACGCTAATGCGCAAAGCTCTGTAAGCTCTCTGGCAGCTCCCAAAAGTGTCTTCGGAGTCCGCAAAGCTCCGAGGCACCAAGGCACCAACAACATCACTGTCTGCCATCGACGGAAAAAAAAGTCGCCATCCGTAAGTGGTCCTTTCGGTCGGTGAACCAGTATGGGAATATGAAGAAATCACTTCCGGACAGTGACTTCTGTAAGCTTTCTCGTAGTCGCCCCCGACGACAACAATGTGTTCGTAGTCCGCAAGTCTCCGAGGCACCAAGGCCCCAAGGCAGCAACAACAGCAGGACACTGTCTAGGGATAATCTGGTTCGGTGAACCAGCCAGTGGAGCAAAATGAAGACGAGGTCCTAGAATGATTCTTCAGTCTTTCCCACTTGTCGAGTCTTGGAATCGTCGTCCAACGGCAGCCTCGGCAGATACCGTGACTCCACCCCTGATTCCTCAGGCCACGAGACCACAAGACCAGGTAGCAATGGAAACAATTTGGGGGTAGGACGGGGGCACGTGGAAAGAGAGATGACATTGCAGAGAGTACACGGTATGCATGGGCAAAAGAAAAGGACCCAGTCGAAGAAGAGACCGACCACCTGTCCATGACTAGATCACGATGAATCACCTGTATCAGTGTCTTGTTGCCACGCACACTTGTGCCTTCAATGTAGGATATGATGACGTGATACCGTAGTGTGGTCGGGGCCTGGGGTTGGGGGAAAAGGGCGTGTTGAGTTGAGCACCTTGAGGTTTGGGAATGATCCTCGGAGCTCGGACAAGTATTAAGCTATTGGAACTGACAACGCCGACCCAACTCGGCGGTACCGTACTGTGTATCTGTCCAGGAGCCTCCAGCTGAAGTGCCGGCTAGGTTTTTCCTGGTCGTACAGCGAGACAGAGAGAAACTGGGCTGGGATGTTTCCCCCGAGAGATACGCGCGGCACATGATGGATGGCGCAGCAGTCTCGATCGGGCCCACGCTTAGGGCTGACCGAGCGGACATCGTTCCCAAATATTTCGAGATTGGATTGGAAAATGCATGGTTCAGGTCGCTTGGGCATCGGTGGGTTTTACAGGTAAGTAATCCGAATCGCCATTGTATACAACGACTGCTTCAGCAGATGTCATTGGTCAGTTGTTGATGACATGCATCCACAGGAAAGGCAAAACTGGTTTTGGCCATGTGCTGGGTTGTACAGGCTTCCAACATGGTACACCAAGTACGATGAGATGCAACATCGGGTTGGTCCGACCGAAAAGAAATATGGCTAGGCAAGACAGAGAGGTGAAGAGGGTAGACCAATATGGATACAAGATCCAAAGATAGAAGAAAACTTGCACATACCAGCACGGATGGAAACGGGCGAGCCACCATGTTGAAATCTTGTATGTTATCTTGATCTTCGTATTCATGTCTCCTCGAACCAACGACAACAATCGTCGGCAACTATCTTTGGGGTTCGATTCGGATCGCGAGATGTTCGTCAGGCGTCCTGTACAAATCATTGTAAGCTAACACGAGTCAAACCTCCTTTTCCCCTGTTGTTGTTGTTGGTACAATACTCCCCCTCCAAAAGGGAATGACACTCACACCGGACCTGTTGTTGTCCAATTTTGTCTCGTCGACTTTTCCATACCTCCCCAAACGCCTAATGCTCTCATTAACCGATTACCATACAAACCCGTGGATCGCCAAGATTAATCCTCAGGTTGGCCCAAATCAGCGCCTGCACGAGGGACGCACCTAACGTCTGTCCCAATCACGGCTGCGGCTGCGGCTCCTGCTTCGGCGATCATAGCTGTCGTAACTAGCGCGGCTAGGACTCCTACGTGCTCTCTCGTCCACATCATTTCTTCCTCCTCCTCTGCCGCCTCCTCCTCTTCCACCACGTCCGGCCCTCGGGCTAGGAGAGCGGCTTCGGGAAGACCAAGAGCGTGACCTCGACCGATACCTCCTGGTTCCTCCACCCGCTGCTACAGGGGAGCGCGAGCGGGATCGCGATCGTGACACTGAACGAGGTCTATAGGTATCGGAACGATGTGCGTGACGTCCACCACCACGAGGACCGGGGGATCTGTTGCGACCGCCGCGGCCTCCCCCTCTGGTTCCTGGCGGGGGTTGACGGGGATCATAGTTTGCGCCCCTGCGAGCGGTAGGTGGGGAAGGGGAGAATTTGCGACGGGGAAGGACAATGGAGACGTTGATGACGGCACCGTCCAGCTGGGCTTCGTGCATGTGGGCAATAGCGGCTTCGGCATCGGCTTCGTGGACGTAGAGGATGTAGGCTGTGCCGCGGTTTGTGCGGGCTGTTCACAGTCAGATGTCAGTTAAGGGCTGGAAGTAGACGAGACGGTGATTGAAGAAGGCGACACGTACATGTCCTGTTCAAAGGCAGATCCAAGTCCTCAATCTCTCCAAACTGGCCAAAGATGTCGCGAAGATGGTTCTCGTTGATGTTCTTGGTCAAACGCTCGACGACAATCTTTGTGCTTCTCACGGGTTGAGCTGGGCTCGAACTGCGAGTCGGGCTCCTGCTCCTGCTCCTAGAGCCTCCTCCACGACTGTAGCTCCTGGCGCGACCAGGTGTCGGGCTCACACTACGACGACCACCACCATTCCTGCGGGGCGGCGAGCGACCTCGTTCACGGTCGAGGGAAGCATCTCTGAGGGCGGGCGAGGGTTCGCGGGAGTAGTCGCGGGCGGAGCGAGGTGTGGGAGAAGGGTTGCGGCGAGGAGTTGCAGAACGGGAGCGAGACGGGGAGCGCTCAACGTCGTAGTGGCCAGCCGACCGGGACCTCGAACGGGAGGCCATGGTTGGTGATGTGGTGATGTGGTGGTGGTGATGTAGAATGCTGCTGTGGGAAAGATGTGATGGATACTGTAATAATGCTGTAGTAGGAGATACAGCTATGTTATGCGACTCGGACTGAATATGTGGTGTCGCAAGTGAGATGGTCTGGAATGGGTGAAATGGTGATGATGTTGGGTGTGTTCAGTTGTTTGCAAAACAATTGCTCGTCCTTCTTTCTAAAAAGCGACGCGCCTCTTGCTTTAATAGAGCTCTATGCACGGGCCTCTTTGGCTCTTTGGTCAAGCTTTGGTGGGGCCCGTAAGGTAGATTGCTCTCTCACGTGATCCCCCGCATTGTTTTCTTCACCAGCTCCATTTTCTGTCTCCACCATCATTATCCACCGTTGTTGCTCTTGGCAACCTTATTTCCATGTTTTGTTTTTTGTAGAATATGAGCACGTGCAGGGGTAATCTGGAAATAGAGAGAAGACTGTATATTATATTGAGTTCTGTGTGCCCAAAAATCCCTCACAGAAAATCTAGTTAATACAACACACCAGACCCGCTAAATTATATAAGTACTACCCCTATATATCCTCATTTCTAATATACCCCCCCAACTACACTAGGCAAAATACCTAGAAAACTAATATAAATAAAACTATTTACAATTTTACTCCCTTTTTCGTATCTCCCCTAACGGTCGCCTTTAAAAACGTTACTTACTATTAATTCCCCTTTATAAGGAAGGTCGATAGTACTAGTTTTCAATAACGACCCGGGTCCCGTAACTTATTAATTAAAGCGTTAAAATCAAATTTTAAACTATTCTTATCGCTTAAATATATTTTATAGTATACTTATTAATATTATTAATAGCCTATAGACTATCCTTAAAAATCTTAAGTTCGAACCCTATTAAAATTAATATTTTTACCCTTTTTCCTCCTTATATAAATTGCGTACTATATAAAACCCTCTTAATTTATAGAGGTTATTTCTATTATATTATATAAATAGGTAATTTATACCTATAATTACTGTTTCCTCCTTTTTTATTATTCGATAGAACTTACTCCTCCTAATCCTTCTCGTAAATCCTTACAATTAAATAATT